TAAGTTAAAGCATGGATATTAAAAGTTTATGTGTGATCTATAGAGCAATTTTCAGTTCTAAAAGCTATCAATTGTATGGTTTGTTCCCGTTTTGCACACATTTAATTACAGATAATTAAAAAATGTGTGAAAAACGGGAATTTGACCATGTGAGATAATTACTTAATTGCTATAGACAAAATTGGCTTAGCAAAGTTGAACTATAGTGAAAAAATAAGAGAACAAATACAAAGTTAATGTATTTGATCCGACATTTATTATAACATCTTTTCAAATTAATTTTTATTCATACTTTATTATATGTTATATCTTTATTCATTTAGAATTATATCAAGATTTAAAAGTACATATTCTTTTTTTTAAGAAATTGGACTTAATAATAAATAATATGAAACAAATATTAATTATTTATTCAATAAAACAAATATTTTCCCATAAATATATATATAATTTCTAAAATGCTTATAAAATTGTATTATTTTACGTTAAGCTAAATCAGGTATTCACAGGTAAATCCAGGTAAATCCAAATTAGAAATCAATTAATTTATTTGTTGTTCTTACATTAAATGTGTGCAAAACGAACACACCAATTGTATATATTGTATTCATTAAAAAATTGAAAATTCATAAATACATAAATAATGAAAACATGCGGCTGGACTGGGAATGAAACCTGGGACCCTGTATTTCCGGTCAGGTGCTCTAACCACTGAGCTATCCAGGCCGATGTCCTCAGTCCAGCCTCATTTCCTACATTCCCCCTTCCTTAAATAGTTTCAAATAGACACAATATCTTGTAGCTTAATATTAGTATTATACACTGCCTGAACAAGGTCGGCCACGGCACCATCTGTAGTATGGAATAAATCACCTGATTGAAAATTCATAAATACATATATATTAAAACATATACATATTAAAAGTTTTTTTAAGTGTGTGATCTAAAAGATAGCAATTATATATATACTTTTTAATTGCTTTATATATACATGTAATTATCTGTCAATTAATTCTCAGTGAATATGTTCCTCATTGCCATTGTCAGGAATATGAAGTTTGATGATGAGATAGTGACCACTGACTGGCATGTTTATTTAATGTAGTGTTTGAATGACTATAAAATGCCCCGGGTCCCTAACTTTACAGTAAGCAGGACAAAGGGAGACAATTAGATTATCACACTTTGTTTTTACACTGTCCTCAGGATTACAGTGTCAATATAGGAGAGAGTTAGTTCCCTGTACTGGTATAGTTTATACATTGTGTGAAAATCAGAATGGAAGGGTTAACTATTTCTGTAAGTATATTCTTAAGAAAGGTAACTCTTTCAGCTTTACCTCTAAACATTTACCAATTTATTTGCCTTGAAATGAAGAACAATTTGCAAATAGCTTATGAGATGCAAGTTATTTTGTAATGTGTGACATAAATAGATAATACTTAAAAGTTCAAAAGTAGTAAGCCAGCTTTTGAAATCTTGAATGAAAGTTAATTTGAAAGCTTTAGGAACAGACCTTATTGTTTTCATCATGTATAGAGACACCCAGTGAAGTCTGTTTCTGCGAGTACAATATATCTTGTGCAGCTTGGTTGAAATTATGAATTCTTTAAAAAATATATGTTATCAATACTCTTACAAATAAAATTCATCCCAGAGATAGCCTTATGATTTAGTTTTTTCCAATATTAATTAGTCCGATTTGAATGCATAAGGTTTTGCTAATGCAGCAAATGACATACCTGATAATATCCCCTTGCAATGGATTTGGAGGGCATATAGTAAGCCCTTTTGTGTGTGTGTGTTAGTTTGTATGCATGTGTGCGAAACTGAGGTGACATAGTTTGCACTGGCATCCATGTCCAATGCTGTCTTGGTTTATAGATATGCTCTTTGTATTATAATATTGTATAGGGATTCTTGCTTTGCTGTGCCCTAACTTATGAAACTGAGCATGTGTTACTCAGAAACTATTGGAAGGATTTGTCTGAAAAGTTGTACACATATTATTCACCATATGAAGTTGTGCACCTGATATTTTTCATCTTGATTGGATTATTATTTTGAATTTTACAGGTATTTTTTCATTTTTATTTTGTGGTTTTGTTTGGATCGTTTCTCAGAAACTATTGCAAGGATTAATCTGAAAATTTGTACAATTATTATTCACCATATGAAGTTGTGCACCTGGAATTTTCAACTCTTTTTGTTCATTTTTCTGCATTTTACAGATAATATTGTTCATTTTGGGCTCATGTATAAGGTTTGAGACATAGAATCTAGAATATCTGTATGAATTACAGCTTAAAACTACTCATAAAAACTTTTAAAAAAAAAGAAACATCAGGTGTTAAAAACAGTTTTTACATTGCACAGAAGATAATGTAATTTCATTTGTCTCTTGGGAATAACTTACATGCATCCAGTTAAAGATAAATTAATGAGTTTGGTGTTGGAAGTTGTTTAGGCATATCTCTTATCAAGTGTGTGTGTGTTATCAAATCTTCATTTAATAAGGCACAAGAATTAAAGATCTCTCTTCTCTTATTCTCTTAATTGTAATTTATTGTCTGTCAAAACACTTCATTACTGGATGACCAGTTCTTTATTTTCAAAATGCATTTCAAATTGATATACATTGTATCAGATAAATTTGATTTTTTATATAATGTTTTTTTTTCAACAATCTGTTTGCAGAGTGACATAAAACATAATTGCAATATATTTTTTTAATGCAGTAATAAATAAAAATTAAATGAAAAAATTTTTTAAAAAAATGTTACAATGGAATTACAATGTATTAGTATTGATGTTTCATTTGGTTGCATCTCCGTTTCATTCATTAATATAATTATATTTCACTGCAAATTTTTTAAAGTAAATTGTGAACATCTCTAGATCCATAAAGTATTTTTGAATTGGCACCTTCTCTGAAAAACCCAGCGGGGGGTATTTGTCCCTATTGGACAGTTCTAGTTTAATGTCAGCCTCTAGCCAAAAATTGACAGTCAATAGTTGGAAAATTTGTCTGAGATGTATTAATATATTTTATTACCTGTGTTTGTGTGCAAAATCTTGAACAGCTCTCTAGAAAAAAAGTGGTAAATGCTACATATTTTTGAATTAAGCTTCAAGTATTTCTTTTTCAAACTGTAGGGACTTGCAAAAGAAATATACAAAAAATTTGTGCACTCTAAAACTACATTCTAGTATTGAATTCTGTTTGATGCTTGTTAATGGTTGAATTATACAACTGCTGAGATATTCCTGAGCAAGGTTTAGAGAGAAAGTCAGATTTCTATAAATGGATCATCTTTGATGAAATTACTTTGTCTAATTTGACATTCCTCCCACAACCTTCTGTTTGCAAGCAATATCCCTAATGAGATTTTTTTAAGGGAGAAATGAGAAAAATATGGAAATCTTTCAAATTGAGAGTTGTTCATTTGAGTGATGGATGACATGGATTGGAGGTTATATTAACTTTTCTCTTTCCCTACATCCAGATATGCAAGAGATAAATGATTTATGCTGATGATGAAGGTATCTACATGTAGGTATATCTGTATCAGTACCTGATGATCTATTTGATCCCTGCTCTGACTATAGCCTGTTGTGTTATTTTTAGTGAGGGGCATTAAACACTTGCCAAGTATCTGTACAACAAAGTAACAATAATCCAAAACCAAGATGCCCGAGACAGCTCAAGCTTTGTTAATGTTTCTTGTTGACTTTGACTGGAAGCAGATTGTAGGTTACAAGGATCTATGATCCTGTTTTGTTCTGCAAGGGTTAATTAATGGCCACACATGAACAAGAAAGACCCACAGAAGAAAGATCAATTTTATATGATAACATTTTTTTTTGGAAACACATGTCATTTTAAATTTAAGATTTTTGCACTTTTAAATATTTCAAAGATTTCTTTTTTGTATTGAAACAATGACTTGATACGTGTATTTATGTATTAGATTTATAAAAGAAAGATATTGAGCTACCAGATTCTTTTACGAGTGAATTTACTTTCCTACTATCAAAGATGAAATAATGAAGCCATTTTGTATACATGTTGCAAGTACATTAAGTAGCTGCTGATAAAAAAGTGCGGGTAATTATGGTGTGCTTTTCAAGCTCAGACATAAATCCCTTTGAAGCATTGACAATATATTTACCAGAAAATGTGAGAATTTGCATATTTTTGCATCTAAAAATTCTACATGAATGTGTAATTCTAGATGTGTATCTAGAAACTACCCATTGGATGAGGCAGGAATGAGAAATGGATCGGAAACAAGATAATGATTGATAAAGCGATGTCAGATTACTATTTATTAATGGTAATTCTCTAAAAACAGGAATGGGCTCTACAAATAAACACACCACCTTGGATTAAATCCCCATCTCTCATCCTTTGCATGTTCTATTTTTGATATCAGAAGCTCATTAAACTTGTATGAAAATTGACTTTATCACATATGATGGTAGACCACAGGTCTCTATCAATGTGTAAGTGGAATATATACCCTGAAATGGAGCTTCATTTTCTATGAATGCTAAATTAAAAACTTTTTTTTATGTAAAAATACATCAGTAGGAATTTGGTTAATTGGTTCCCATGGGTTGTAGGAAACACTGAATTTACTTGTAAGATATTTATATTATTTGTGTTAATTACTGGATGAATGAACATCTCCTGAAAAATTAATGTTCCCACAGAATACAAGTTCTTTAAAAATCAGATTGTGAAGTCTAGAAGATTGATTCTTCGTTATTCTCCTGTAAATATTAATCGACGGATCCTTTGATACATGGTGTAGTGATAAAATAATTCTTACCTGGACAGAGTTATATGTGGGTTAATGAAAATTGTAATAACCATTTCGAGGTTCAGTACCTATAAACATTAGAAATATTACTTGATGGTGAACGAGATAGAAAGGAACTATAAGATGCAGCGTTACTTGTTAGTAGAACTCAATATATCGGTGCAGCTGTGATAGGCAGATCTGTAGAGGCTGATTGAGAACTGCACTTGTAACTATACCTATACCAATCTGATGATGAAGAAACAGATGTTATTGGAATACAAAGTGAATACTGCATCAGATCACATCGTGGTCTCCAACAGAGCTGAGGTCCCTGGATGTGGTGCCGTGTAGGTGTGTACTCCTGTTAGCCAATGACTTGACTGGTGCTGAAATCCCCCAGGAGGGAGTTTATCTCTCAGGCTAGTCACACTAAAAGCCTTACTTATTCCACTGTTAGCTTGCTGGTACTTATCAGTAGTGCTGCTGCTCTGGCGCTGTGATTTCCTGAACAGAGATTATTTGTGTACACCTTCTGATTCTTTTCTTGGATGCTCATCATAATGAAATGATTAAAAGGACATCTTTGAACGATTGAAGGATATATCTTTTTTTCTGTGGAAGATGAGATTTTAATGTGTGGAGGATTTTGACAGCCTTTCTTGCAGAGTTAAATTGTCTTGTGATCTTCCTAGGTAGAGGAAATGATTCTACAAATTAAGATACCAGAGTGCAAAATATTCTACGCATTGGGATTCTAGAAATGATGTTGCATACCCATGTTTTGTTTACTTTTAATTTCCAGGGAACTAAAGCCTGTGGGAATCTGTGAGAATTAGCATTTTTTTCGATGTGTTTATTAATAGTTTTTCATCTTATAAATTTTTTACATGGAACTGTCTGATTACATGCTGAAATCAATAAGTACATATTATTTTACAAGGCGAATTGATTCAACACATTTGCTTCAGTATTGAATATTGTTAAAAAATTGGATCACAACAACTGTTTTGATAAGAAAAAAGCCATTGCCTGGAGTTTTGGATGTGACACAAATTTAGTTCTTGCTTCATTCAAACAACCAGAGAATGAATAGGTTTACTGGTACAGAGGACCAAAAATTTGGAAATGGTGAAAACACTGACCACTTTCTTGGCAACCATGCTGCTTCCAGGGCAAACTCAATGTCCTCCAATCAAAATACCGGACTACCTGGACAGATTTCTCCTAGTAGGAGCTGGCATCACAGTCTCACGACATCCGAACATTCAGAGCTGAGATTTGATGTGAGTGGCTTTGACAGTCACAGAAGGTTATCGCAAGGGTCAAGGACTGCACTATTTGGTAACCATGACAGCCATCTAAGGTTGAGAGACCCCAAGTTTGTAAGTACATCCAGTAGTCCAGAAAAAAGTCCAGGGATCGAGTCCGATGATTCTCTGTCATCTGCGAGTAGTTGTGGCCCAAGACAGACTGTGAGTTATAGAAAGCGTAGTTTGAGACACAGAAGGAGTGAGGACAGAGACTTGGGTAAGCTGCTGTCTGATAGTGTAGAAGAGGCAGAATCATTGTCTTACCCAAGGTCACAGTTGGGTGGTGATGAAGGACGCAGGTTCAGGAATGGTCACCGTCCTGCTAGTGTGTGTGGATATAATGTGCTCTGGGAAAATCGAGTTCAGGAACTTGTTGTAAGTACTAAATAGGATGAGGATACATTTGTAGAAAGATAGTTTACAGATTTTATTTTTTTTAAAAAATTCATCCTCTTTGATCTTAAAAAGGTGACACAGGTGCATTCTGATCAGTAGCATGTATCAGTTCATTCAATTGGAAGGTAACTTGCTTTTACCTGTGCAGTTGCTGTATCAGCTCTTTTATGATCTGCACTTGAGAACAATGAACTTGGAGTTCATAGTACAGATGATAATCAAATAAGAGATGCAGGCACATCTTATGCAATTCTATGATATCGAACAAGTTTTTGTCATCATATGGAAAGCAATTCTCACTGCCAAGGTGTTGAGGTAGAATGAATTTTATGGCCATACATAGAGTGGTTTTGATATCGGTCACCATAAAATTCGCTGAACTTTTCCCCTTGTGATGGCCCCAGGGTAGCATCAATCAGAGAATGGTCCATTGTTTGAGGAATGTAGAACCAGAGGTGAAGTGTATTGAAATGGCATATTTATCATCTCCCATTTCATCAGCATCCCTAAACAATAACTGTCAGCAGGGGTAAACCTTTGATCAGCCATAAAACAGAACTGGCTCCTGATCAACTCTGTTGTTGTAAATGGCACTGAGCTCTGTTATATTGCTACAAATCTCCTTAATGTGTGTGAAAAAAACTAACAAACATTAAGGGGGTGTGTGTTGCTTCAGCAAAGAGATTCAGAGGGAGGGAAATGTATACAGTTTGTGTTCAGTGTCTCTGGATGTCTGGTCACTTAAATTACAGAGAGGGTCAGAGGGGGGAAAGGGTACTAATGTTGGGTGCTCAATCAAATTGTCTATAATATTTCTATATTTTACCAAAGTTGAAAAGGGATTAATTTTGGAGTCAAAAATTTAAAGTCTGCCAGTTGTTCAGTTATACTAAAAAGAAAAAAAATGGACCAATTTTTAATTTGTTAAACAAGGCAGGCACAATTTTACTCTCAATTCCTGATGAGAGAAAAAGTGCATTGCTGAAGAAAGGTTAATTAAAGAAACAGAAGTACATATACTTCTTTTAATGGTACATCGCACCCACATTGGTATGTATAGGGACTGAAGAATTCAAAATACCAAACAAAAAAATATTTACATTTATAGAATTCTCTGCATTTCACATATCACGCAGGAATTTTTTTTTTGAAAAAAAAAAGAACAAACCCCTGCAAGGCAGTAATATGCTTCAAGCATGAAAAGAATATACCAACCTGACTATTGAATTTTGAGCTGAAAACAAGCATACAATTCATTGGTGGTCTCTTTGATTGTAATTAGTAAACTTGAACTATGCAGGAATTGATTTACAATGATAGAGTTCTGTTCCTAACCTTTAACCACAAATGTCAGAAATTCCCCCTACATTGAGCATGTCATGTACTCATTAAGTTTCCTGACCTAATCAACTTAATTTACAAATACTTAATTCTCTTTTTATCAGTGCTGGCCCTAGTAAATTATTCACTCAGGTTCCATCACTATAGGGTGATGTTTAGTACACTGATACATGTGGTCTGGGACTCTTATGTTACAGAAAATTTGGTGAGTGGCTACTCTGTCAAGTTGTACATGCACCAAACAACTGATGTACACAGTAAACATGGTAAATGTAAGACTCAATTCCTCCATTTTGGTGCCATGAGAGAAAAAGTGCATTGCTGAAGAAAGGTTAAAATTTTAGCATTGCACGCGTGTGCATGTGAATGCAGTGCGTAAGACCATACATATATATATTTAAATATACTTATTAAAGTATTTAATCTTTTAATGTGTTTTTTTTTTTACATTTCACATGCACGCCACATTGGTAACCATGTAGATGTCCGTTACATCTATCTATGTTCTAAATCTCACCCCGTTTGGTTGAAAACGAAGAGTTATAGCTGTTAAAGTTTCAGCCAATCAGATTGCAAACATGCACGTGTGTGCATGTGCATGGTGACCATATTTTCTTGTAGTAGTCCAGTATAAATCCCATCCTGTTTGGTTGAAAATCCTATTTAAAGTTTAAGCAAAAAAATATTTATATATCATTTACTAGCATGGCTATTTTCAAAATTTCAAAGGATTTCTGCATTTCACATATGCGCGTGACGACCATGTCATATTGAAATATATTTTTTATAAGTTTCAAAGCAAAAAAATCATAAAAGTTACGCCTATATCAATTAAATCGGTCATTTCACATGTTGCAAGGCAGTAATATGCTTCAAGCATGCGCGCAAAATGACCTTCCTCTTACATAACATGTCTACTGACCCTAAAAACATTTCACCTTAGTCGGAATTTTGAGAAGACAAAAAAGTACCCAGGAAGAAGAAGAAAAATAATAATAATAATAATAACTGAAAACTCGTTGCGAAGCATAAAATCAATTGATTTAAAAAATCATTGGTCCATTGCGGTCTCTTTGATTGTAATTAGTAAACATACTTTACATTTATTTTAAAATGAGAACTATTTGCAGGAATTGATTTACAGTGATAGAGTTCTGTTCTTTTTATTCCACTAACCTTTTATATATTTCCACAAATTATTTCATGCCAAACGTCACAGAATTGATTGATTGTATACCCCCTACATTGAACATGTCATGTACCATCATTAAGTTTCCTGACCTAATCAACTTAATTTACAAATACTTAATTCTCTTTTTATCAATGCTGGCAAAATATACCTATATACAGTAAATTATTCACAATATATACAAATATAAAGGACACTTGCCTAGTGTATGATTAACAATATGTACAGAAACCCCTCACTATAGGCTATACCATGTTTGTAGTATACACTTGATACATGTGGTAATACTATAACCCCTTGATTATCTATATACCAATTCGGTCACTGCTACACTATTGCTTTCACAGAAAATTTGGTGAGTGGCTACTCTGTCAAGTTGTACATGCACCAAACAACTTATGTTTTTGTTGTATGTACCAGTAAATGTTAAAGCAATGACTAATTAGATCATTTGAATGGGATTCTGTAAGATTTTCCATGAAGTATTTTAGTTTATTAGGTGATGGAATCTTCTAAACTTCTGGTTTGTTGCACTATAAATATGCAGTATTGTAAATGGTAAAATCAAGGACAGGAATTATTATGTCTGCATGAAATGGGAAAATTTAGACTCATATATTTTCCTTCATTTATATGGTAAGGCTAATATCTGTAAAAAGCTGTTGAAGATATACAAAACCAAGACTGTGATGCTCAAGAAGGATACGACCTGATAGATATCGTCCTCACAATGTCAAGGGTTTGTGATTTTGGAACTCCACATAAACTAATCACAAACCGTTGTCATTGTGAGGATGGTTGGCAAAGCTTTTTGAAAAAGCTTTACATGCTGGGTAACATTGCTTTGTCTGTATGTATTACTATATATAGTACAGGTACTGGGTTTTTCCTCGGTGTCAGCTGCAAAAATCAAACTGGTGCTCAGCACTCAATCATTGGGCAATGGTAGTACGACTAATGTTTTAACTTTTTAAAGTCTTTGGTATTCCTTGTACTGAATGTGACTGCTCTGCATCCCCCAATACTAAAGTGTTGACCTATCATGTTTTTTCAGTGGACCATACAATAAAAAAATTGATCACACAACGATAAGCTTAAATGTGTTCCAGGTATAAGACAATGATAAATGAATTTTCCATGTCATCCTTTTTATGTTCTACCAGGTATATTTTAATCTAAAAATTACAGTAAAAAATGCTTGTAACGAATTGCCAGGGACCTACAATTTGGCATCGTTATAAGCATAATTCGTTATAGCTGTTAATTATTATGCCCCCCTTTGAAGAAGGGAGGGCATATTGCTTTGCTGCTGTCAGTCTGTCTGTCGGTCCACCATCAGTTTCATTTTCTTTGCAGAGGTTACACATATTGAAATGAAATTTGATATACAGATTTATCATAAGAATATCTAGTCAAGTTCTGTTTTGGGTATGATCAATTCATTTCGGGCGGAGCTATGCCCCTTGGACTTAAAGAAATTCCAATAATTTGCCGTTTCCATTCATTTTCTTTACAGAGGTTGTACAAATTGAAATGAAATTTGGTATACAGATTTATCATAAGAATGTCTATGTCAGATTCTGTTTTGGGTATGATCAAACCATATTTGACAGAATTTTGCCCCTTGGACTTGAAAAATTCCAATTAATCAGGGGAGGGGACATAAGTGTTTTACAAACATCTCTTGTTTATTATATTTTGAAGTCAAGAGGACCATAAATTGCTTTCTTACATGCGTCAAATTATTATAAGGTTGTTTAATATAATCGTGTTTTACTGTACTTATAAGTCCCTATATAAAGTACTGTAACAAACACAGTTGACACTTTCCTACCACAGTCTCAGCAGGAGCTGGACTTGATTGTCAGTTTTCTTGGATTATGCCTGTGTAATGGTTCTTAAAACCACATTTTTAAAAATAAAAATATAAATAAGCTGGTAAGTTTTCTTAAAGTGAGTAATACTCCTACAAAATAAGTGGAAAGGGGATGTGAAATTTTTAACACATTATAAGAACCAAAGCCAGAAATTGCACACAAGGACAATTCATCAGTCAAAAAAAAAAAAATCAGAAAAAAGATATTTTCTGAGTTGACTATAAATTAATTCCTGGGGAAAGGCTTTGATTTCAGCATGACTCATCTCCCAGTCTGTATACTTACATCACCTTTGGAGCAAAGATTTCTTACAAGATACCCCAGTAGTGGGGAGAGATTTCAGAGTAATCTCTGACTCCATCACGATTCTCTGCCGCACAGAATAACACCTGCCCTTCAGTTAATGATGATGCCCCAGACATGTGTACTGATTTAGTTAATTTCCAGTAATAGCTGTGTATATTATTTTGTTGTTTGATCTAACATATTTAATTAATTATGGTAATTAGATGAAGGTTATAGATGCTATTTATAGATGGACAATGCTAAAGGGGAATGGTAACAACCGTAACATTGATTTTTAGCCGGGCTCATTTCTCGTAGAGAAATGCCCGGCTATTGCGACGGTGAGCAACAGAAAATGCTGCTTCTTCACCGCCAAATTAAATTTACGAGTTAGAATATAGTACGTCTGCGCAATCACCTTTGAGGCAATACAAACACTGAATTATTTTCATAGTTATCTGAAATTGTCAAAAATAATTATCATTATAAAATACTTTGTATCGTTTTCGATGATTAATCATTTGGTTAGAATATGCGAAAGGTTTTCATCAGGTATCCCTGTCTGCGTCATATTCTATTTATAAAGGGTGTACTATCAGGCTTATACAAATGATGTACTATTTATACCTTAAATAATCTTGCTGCATCAGCGTTTATTTACTTCTGTTGGTATGTAAAACCCCGAAATGACACATGTGACAAATATTTTACGCTGTTAAATTCTAGCCACATTTTAATTAATTTTAAAGCTTTTGAATGCTACATGTATATATGAAATATATAGATATATAAACATCTTTTCAATGTCTGAATCAGCTTGTTTTTAAACTTTTTCTTTGTTCATTACCCTGTAAATGAGCCCGGCTTTCAGTACTTCTGAGTACTTTGATTTTGTATTGGAACAAAGTGACATTATTAGTAGAATTAGTTAATAGGTATCGTAAACAAATATTACAATTACATACACTGCACAAACAACGTTTTCTTATATAAGCCAATTAAGCATTATATTGCATGAAAATGATACAAGTCAATCCCTGGCAAGTTTTGAATACTGTTAGATTTTACAAGTATATGATATCAATATTGGAAATGTGATAAAATGAGTTTATCATTTGTCAGAATTAAAAGGCCTTGCATTGCGGAGGCTATTGCACTGTATAAATTTCTCTCATGTTTTGAAGAACAAGTACATTTATAAATGTATTTCCACTGTCATATATTGTATTATAATCCTTTTAAATAAGGGATACAGTATCCCCTTTTCCAATTTAAATAGTCAGTAAAATAAAGGATATTTTCACAAATATGAAGCATTTTAATATTTAAGGTGGCCTCTCTCTGAAACTGTTGTTGTTTTCCATACAGTGATGTGTGGTTTCAATAATTTCTTTGTTCAGTTTATGATGTGTTAGTTTCCAATTACTAGGATTAAATTTTAAGTATAAATATCAAACTGTTGTATGGTATGAATCATATGATAGACATATATATCAGACTTTCAGGTAATTATTAGCTCACCTGAGCCGAAGGCTCAAGTGAGCTTTTCTGATCAAAATTTGTCCGTTGTCTGTCGTTGTTGTCGTTGTAGTTGTCGTCATCGTTGATGTTGTTGTAAACTTTTCACATTTTCATCTTCTTCTCAAGAACCACAGGGCCAATTTCAACCAAACTTGCTACAAAGTATCTTTAGGTAAAGGGGATTCAAGTTTGTTCAAATGAAGGGCCACGCCCTTTTCAAAGGAGAGATAATTATGAATTAGAGAAAAATTAATGGCATTTTTAAAAAATCTTCTTCTCAAGAACCACTGGGCCAGGAAAGATGAAACTCAAGTGGAATCATGCTCAGGTAGTGTAGATTCAAATTTGTTCAATTCATGACCCCCGGGGGTAGGGTGGGTCCAAAATGGCTGATCAAAGTTTTACATAGAAATATATAGGAAAAATCTTTAAAAATCTTCTTCTCAAGTACCACTGGGCCAGGAAAGAAGAAACTCATGTTGAATCATCTTCAGGTAACTGTAAATTCACGTTTGTTCAAATCATGACCCCCAGGGCTAGGGTGGGGCCAGTATGTTCGATCAAAGTTTTACATAGGAATATATAGGAAAAATCTTTAAAAATCTTCTTCTCAAGATCCATTGGAACAGGAAAGATAAAACTCATGTGGAATCATCCTCAGGTAGTGTACATACAAATTTGTTCAAATCATGACCCCCGGGGCTAGGGTGGGGCCATAATGGCCGTTTAAAGTTTTACATAGGAATATGCAGGAAAAATCTTTAAAAATCTTCTTCTCAAGACGCATTTAGACAGGAAAGATGAAACTCATGTGAAATCATCCTCAGGTTGTGTAGATTCAAGTTTGTTCAAATCATGACCCTGGGGTAGGGTGGGGCCAGTATGGCCGATCAAAGTTTTACATAGGAATATGCTGGAAAAATCTTCCTCTCAAGAACCATTGAGACAGGAAAGCTGAAACTCATGAAAAATTTTCCTCAGGTAGTGTAGATTCAAGTTTGTTCAAATCATGACCCCCAGGGCTAGAGTGGGGCCAAAAATGGCCGACCAAAGTTTTACATAGGAATATACAGGGAAACCATTTAAAATCTTCTTTTCAAGTACTTCAAAGCCATGATTATTAATATTTTTATGGAATCATCCTCAGGTAGTGTAGATTCTAGTTAATTCGTTCAAATCATGATCCCCTGTGGTGTTAAAATTCAAGCCCCCCCCCCTCCCCTCAGTAAAGTTAAACTTTCAGTTCTGATCTGATATGTGCTTTTTCCTAGCCTATGTGCTCAGGTGAGCGCTGTGGCCCCTGGGCCTGTTGTTTAGATTTTGTATCATATATCATAAAATGTTAATTTACAGAACTTTTATTCAGAATCCTCTGAATCAACTCTATAAAGTTTTCCACCAAAGGTACTCATGAAAGAGTTAAAATCTGGATTTTTAAAAATAAAAATCACATTTTATCTGTACTGTTTTACAGGAACTGTTGACAAGAACCTCCTTGGAAACTCACAAACTTGACTTGATGGCCGAGATCTCCAGCCTCAAGATCAAACTGGCCTCGGCTGATAAGGACAGACGGGACCTGGATGACAGACTCAGGTTATCTCAGGTGAGATATCTCAGATTACATACCTGTCAGATGACAGACTCAGGTTATCTCAGGTGAGATATCTCAATTAAATACCTGTCAGATGGGCTCAGGTTATCTCAGGTGAGATATCTATCAGATTACATACCTGTCAGACAGACTCAGGTTATCTCGAGATATCTCAGATAACAAACCTATCAGATGAGTTCACTCCAAACCAAGGGGGATGTTTTAGTGTGTTGACTGGTTAAGGGAAACAGGATGAGAGATATATAAACAGTATAATGCTAAAAACTGATATTGATGACAGTTAAAATAAAAAGATTTTTTTTTGTCGGGGGATGGTACTACAGTACATTTGTAGTTGTGAAAACAGTTACAAATGTATTTGTTAAGGAGTTTTAATATAACCATGTGACTTAGAGGATGAAGACTCTTGTCTCTTATAGACTGCATGTATTTTGTGAATAAGAAACACCTTTTATTAGACAACATTTTTTTCAAAAATTTACAGCCATTTGAAGTAAATACAGTTAGAATTGACATATTACAATAATTGTTGATTTTGAAAAGTTAAAAAAATTGTTGATTATTATGCACTTTGAGATGAAGATAGTATCAGATTCTGAAATTGTGAATTAACTTCACATAGATCACAATACAGGGGAACATTGCATGCAGATTGTTTTATGTCAATTGTGCACATGCTGATGGATAGTGGAATGGCATGTTACAAATCTATGATACCCCGTCAAAGTGGAGTCATAGTGTAAAAATTATCCCTGCACAAACTAAACAATGGATTAATGCAACTGGCTTATGTTACAGAGACATGCAAAGGAACTGGAATCAAGGTTAGCTGTAAAAGACGCTGAAATCAATGAACTGCGACAGAAGCTGTTGAGGAACGGCACAATTTCAGCTCCCGATTCAAGTGGTTAGTTCAAAACAAGATCTTAATTATACAATCATCTAAATATTAACTACATGTAATCCTATACTTTATAGTTAATTATTTATTATGCATATTTAATCAACTAATCAATATGCTCAAGTTGGTTTTTTAATCATATATTGCACTCCAATCTGAATTTTAGCCAATTCTTTTATTTTTAATTTTTTTAAATTTTTTTTTTCATGCAAATACATTCCTTTATCACATTTCATTGCTTTTAATATGCACAGTACATGACGTCTTTAAAAAATTCATGAGAATAATCAAGAGTAAGCAATACAAACAAGGAAGGCTAGCTTTTGAAGTCTGTTTTCAGGAGATTCTTCAGTGAGCAGTTTAGAGAAATCGGTAGACAGAGAAAAAACTTTAGATAGACTTAAGCGCAAACGTAAGATGTCACCCGTTCCATTTGGGTTATGGTTCCTCAGTTTTTATCCAACTACAACTGCCATCTGTTTATCATTGGGCATTTTTATATTGCGTAATTATCTCTCAACTTTGACTATTAAAAAAATCATCAAAGATGAATTTGGCCTGTTTAGGTTTTTGTTGTATATGATTTTTTTCTCTTACACACAGGTGGCATTTGATTTGTTGGTTTTATTAGACTCCTTTGATATTTTTTGTCCAAACTAACTGTTTTTACAATACTAACATGCTCTGTATCCTATGGGACCACTTTTTACATATATCCTTTGGGACCACTTTTAAGTAGTAAATTTACAGACATTTGTCCAGTCGCGTTATTGGCACATGAAGTTTAAGGATTGAAATTCAAACCAAAATAAGTTACAGATGTTTATTTTAATCTTAACGTACACAATTAATAGCTCAGTTACATTTGCAACAGTAGATTTGTATTGAATGAAAAATTTTTAAATCATGAATATAAAACATGAGCTCTACTGTGTATTAACTACTTGCATCAAAGATAATTTTTTTTATATCTGTGTTTACAAATTTTGAAAGAAAATTGTTTCTATTTTAAGCCTTCCTTGGATTTATTTTGGCTCAGCAGAAAATGTGTATCTTAAAATTAATGTTGTATAAGAAGACATGTTCTTGAACCCTGAAGTTTGTGGTTAAGAATGAAGTTCTATATCTCCAGATACATTGGCTCATCACTCAGGCGGTTGTTTCTATTACATTCAGTAATAGTTCTGGTAATTTCTTATCCTTCTAGTTGTCAGCTTATCGGTAAAAATCATCTTTTTAAGCAGGAATGAAGTATATGTTATGATATCATAAATTTTCTTACATAGATCATGCAGACATTTTTTTACTGCGATAAAGTACTGCTTTTGAAGCTTGCAGAGGATGCCATCTTTGACGAACAGGAAGTCGGCGGCATCTGTTGTTATCGTTAGGATAACCTCATCACCAGTCATGTTTTATTTTATCTGCATCTTCACTAGTTGACCTGCATTTACTGTTTTGAACATCTCTTTCATTCTGAAATCCATCTTGTAGATTTGACATTGAAGGAAATCTTTTGTTTTCTTTTATCCTATTGCATTGGAGATCTCGTAACAAATCTTCCTATGTCACGTTTATCAGTATTCTTTGATTAACTTTTGATGTAACATTTTGGAATGTTTAAAGAGATAAAAACATACAAGCAAATTAAATAAGTAATTTGGTGTTTTTTTAGGTTACTTAGTAGATTCAGTTTGTTTTATCTCTGATAAAGCAATCACCATGGAAACTGATTTTAAAACAATAGCAGGGCCAACTTTCTCTTCAATATATGCATGAAAAGTCTACAGAACTGGCACATCATGATTCAGAATCTTAAAAATATTTGCCAAGTTATTCATAACAATCTGTTTTTTCTTCTCTTTTATATATTTTTTTTTTTTAGTATAAAACATTTTCAAATTGGAGGCAAAATCTTTAACGAATTGATACAGATAATGACAGATAATTTATGAAAAGGCTGTGCACTGTTTATTAATTCTGTGTTCATTTGCATGCATTGTTTATATTTTGTCTTTTTCCCTTCAGTCATTTAGTTAACTCCAATGATTGAGAATAAAATATATTGTTGATCTAAATGTCTGTTAGAGGATAAAATTATGCACAGTAGACCCAATCCACAATTTGGTGTAGTATAAATATTTATGGTTTATGATTAGTAGCAGAATTTCCTATAAGTTCTGTGTTTGTATAGATTTCCATTAAATTTTGTTCATTTCACAGCTATTTCTAATTATTCACATTAAGAGATACATTTAAAAATATATATCCTTAGATGGACTTGACAGAAACATCACATATTCATGATATCTCATTCTGAACAATGAATGCCATTCTTTTGTGTGTATTTATTTTATTTTTATTCCTCCATGACTTTATTTTCAGTAAATGATGAGGGTGAGCTTTCAGGAGAGTGAATTTTCCCGACTTTTTGATTGATTTGTGTAGCACCTTTATTCTTGCTTTGTTTCAGATCATGAAGTTGAAAAATTGAAAAAGGCGGTGGAAGCTTTGATGTTCTCTAATCAGGAAAAGGTGATTGAACTTGATTATCTAAATGAGTTAAAATAAAAAAAGAAATGTTTCTGAATATATCTGGTGAACCGAAATGAAGGCTTTCAGTACTTTCTCTGTCCAATGATGTGGAATTGGTTGTTAGACTGGTTTTAATCTTGATTAAATTTGGTAATTATTTTGATAACAAAAGGATTATTAATTTATATATTTCAAGAAAGTTTGGAATAATTATTAGATTAATATGGATTAAAATAACCAGCAGAAATTATTAAGAATTCCATTTTTTTTATTTGGTTGTAACTACCGGGTATGTAGATATTTAAAGTCTTCCTTATTAATGCTTTTGATTTAAGAAAGATTCTTTTATATCTTATTCACACAGGACAAAAGAATTGATGAACTACGTAGACTTTTACGAAGATACAAGAAAATTGAAGAAATGGTGGTTCAGGCTCAAGGTCGTAAGGGTAAGTGGTTACTTACAAAGTTATGTAAGGTTATAAGGGGAAGTAACACTCTAGTATTATAGGTCACAAGGGTAGGTAACTCCTAGACATAACACCTAAGTGATTAAGGCATCTGTCTATTGACAGCACATTCCGTGATTCTGATTGTATTTCTAGTGAGTTAAGCTGTAGATTCTTCTCCGAGGCTTATACATCATGTATATTTACCTTTGAATGAGAGATGATAAGTAACAAAACAAATGATAGAACAGACATGTTTGTGAAATGAAGACCCTCCTGGTTTGGCGTTACTGTTGGAGTTCTGTCAAATCATTAACATACCTCGGGTCTAATGCCAGGTGGTTTCTACATTAAAAGGCATTTTTTTGTACATATGCTAGAACTTGTCACATTGTAGATCTTTATGTCTTCACACACATATTGTTAAGGTTTTAATATCCACTTACCTCTTTGTGTGTTTGTTAGTCTGTCAAGCTTGCACACTGCTGTTAAAAAGACAGTTTAAGTAGGGTTGATTTTTGGGTTTGAATTTGATTCTAATTTTAAAACTTGAAGATGCATCTTGCTTGAAATAGTTGATTTTTAGCTTGATTGTTGTTTTCTGTAGAATATTTCAAAAATTCAAGCCCTTTTTTTTTTGCATGTCTCTATAAGCAAATGTAGACAGTGTAATTGTTAGGGATGTGCGATTTTATCGGTATACCGGTATATCACGATTTTTTGTTGCGTGATACGTATCGTGATACAGAGATCTAAATACCGGTCTTAAGGTACATGTTATAAAGTCCAGAAATTATTCATTTTTTAGTTCAATATTTCAAATTACAATTACAGAAAGTATAAAAAATGTTGTGAAAAGAATGGCATCTTACTGTCTAAACATAATTGATTTTATATACATAAAAATTTCAAGAAAGTAAAATTTCGTTTTTCTAGCATATTTTTTAAGAAAAATAATGACTTTTCATATAAAATAATTGTAAAAACTGCTTTTAAAAATATCATGATATTGTCGTGATGTTGTGGGAAAAAACCGTGATATATGGCGATACGAAATTTTTGGCGATACCCATCCCTAGTAATTGTTAAGAAAATAGAAGTGGGTATGATTTCTTCTCTTTCTCAGAATCAGGAAATTAAAACAAAATAATCTGATGATTTTTTGGAAAGAAAATGGATACCCACCAGGATTTGTTTATGAAATTGAAAATTTGGGTTTTGTCAGATTGAATTATTGAACATTATGTCCTAGGTTGTAGTGGGAGTTAATCAGTGACATTTAAATTGTGTGGTAGATTTATTTCATATTTAATATTATTAGACATTTTGAAAGTAATATTTCTCAGAATAGCATCAAAGAAGTTAAACCTGTCGCTGTTTTATTGACAGCTCTGGAAGAGATGATTTTAAATGCCGAGGACGATACCAGCTCCACAAGTTCCACAACTCCGTCAATAAATGACAATGTCCCCAGAGATCAACAGGTAAGAACAGGTGTTATTATGGAAGACTCCAAATCTTATACACTAATGCATTTCCATTTTGGAAATATAATCCCCAAAAAATGCAGAGGAGAATTTCTAATTCCCATCTGTTACTTTTCAATAAAACTGAGGGTATAAAAATTTTATCAAAGTTTTTATATAAGAAAAATGTTTCCCACATGATAAGGACTTGAGAATATCTGAGTGATGACTCACTCAAAGGGGGTTACACAAAATTTATGTTTATCAAATTGGATCAAGATTAAACTTTTTGTACAACAAATCTTTTTTTACTAAGACATGTAATTTTTTACTCCTCACAGTGTGAAGAAGGGAAAGAGAGACCTTATCCAAATCCAAGTGCCACTAGTACGCCAGGTATGACTGTAATAGAATATACAACAGATAGGTTTAGTTATAAAAGCATTTAAGGTCTGAAATTGATATACATATAGAATGTGTACATACTTAAGCATAATGTTAGTATCTTACTAAAATACATGTTCATACTTAAGTTTGAGTAATATTATCATTTTACCCTGAATGTGTTTATACATAGAGTAATATTTTACTTATCAGTGCACTCTTTGCCAGAGAATGGCATCGGAACAGGAAGTTCCACCGTCCTATCTGGGTCATCTCGCCGAGCCCTGCAGCGCTCCAACAGTGCCGAGGATGTTACGCCCACCAATCAGAAAGTAAGTCAACCATTTATCACAATAAAGATCAGATTTAAGCACTATTGGACAGTCTTGGCTATCTTGTATGTAAAATTGGTGATTAATGATTATTATGGTGAGTTATATCCAACGTTATTTTTATTGTAGAAAAAATCCTCAATAAACAACAATGAACCTGAGGGATATCACAATGGAGGAACGCTTAACTTTGGTACGTTTCCGGGTGAGGGTAGTGAGGTACGAAGGTCTCGGGGTTTCCTTGCCCTCGGAACAGCCCTGCTTCGTGTCAAAACGGGAAAACGGAGCACATCAGCTCCCAACTTAGGTGACGGGAACATGAGTATTATGCCTGAACTTGTGTATCACTTGGCATGCTCTGTTCTCACTAACAACAGTTATACCCAGTGTATCAAGATCTGTTCCAGATCAGAACCACAAATACAATTCCTTAAACATACATAACTGCCTGATGATAAGAACTTGAACCAAACAGAAAAGGCTTGTGACTTTTAGTTTCTGTCTTGTCCTCATGATTGCATGAAATATATTAACAATTGAAATTTTAAAAATTTAAACCTTTAATAAATGTAAAATTTAATGGAATTAATCTCTTGAATTTTTTGAAAGCTATTAAGAATATAAAGTATTCTTGCAGATGATGCATGAAAGGTACCCTGAATACAAAATATGTATTCACTTTAAAGTTTCCCAGAAAATCAGAATATAGCGATGAATAAAATTTGAGTTGTAGCATGTATGAGTCAATTTGGTGTGATCACTGTATACAACTTAACATTGCCCAGGTGTCTAACAGTTAACAACAATGTATATGCATATGCTTTGGTTTATTAAAGTCTTCATGAAAAAGGGCGATATAACCAGATCATCAGTTTATCAAGAAATTGTCTATTTTGACCAAGTTTATTTCAATGTAATTCTGACAAAATTACACAATGGAGAGATGCTTCCTCTATTAATCCAGTTATTTGTAAATTGGAAACTTAAATATTCTGCAGTATTTATATGTACATTTATCTTGTTATATATTTTTTTTTTTATTATGTTTATATGGTATATTCAGTGTGGAACATTCTGTTATATATTGAATGCATAATACATAGATTTGCATGACATATATATCACGTAGTAAATGTACACTTAGTCACTCCGTTAAATTTAAAGCAAATTAATAGTAATTTAAGCACAAACTTTAAAAATCTGTTTTCTAAAAATAAAGATTTCAAAAATTAAATATTTGAAAGAAAATGGGAAGTAAATCTTTTAAATAACTTCTTTTTTTTTTTACATATAAATGCCTTGTGTACACGAAATACAATATTGATAGGTCATTTTTAAATGAAAAAAAAAAGACAACATCTGGAAGGCAAATGCTTATGTCTTTTCCCCAAAATCATGTTAAAGTAGCTTTAGAAGTTACTGACTTGTTTGCTTGATATTTTGATAACAGCTAACACAGAAGTGGTGACAGATGATGAGGATGGATTACAACATGTGGGGACATCTCGACCCCCGGATGTCAAAAAGAAAAAGGGCATCAGGGGCCTGTTTGGGAAGTAAGATTCACTGTGATTTGTTTTTTTAAAAATAAATTTTATGAACAAAAAAGTAAAGTGTGTAAGGAAAATTAAAAATATGATGTAAAAAACCCTGGTACATAAATAAAATTAATATTTACAGATTAAAGAGGAGTGGATCACAAGATTTTCATGAACGTGAGAGAGACCAATTCAGAAGGGGAGGTGTGAGAGCTACAGCGACAGCTCGACTCGGATGGTCTCGAGATGTGCGCAGTAATGAGTATGTTGATGCTATCTTTTACCTTTGCATGTCAGATTGATCTCTTAGATTTATTAGTGTCGATTTAAAGAGCTTTTTCCAATTAAAAAAAAAAAAAACATTTATATTTCACTGGTTGAAGAGTGTGCATGTATGCAAAGTTAATATCAAAATATAAGCGTGCAGGTTTATTTCATAAAAAAGTATTATCATTCAGTTTTTCTGTACAATGAAAGTCTTCAGTTGACACCACAAATTGCAGTTTTTTGTTGTTGAGATAACCAATGATTTAACAAAGAAATATAATCCCTTACAAAAATGTCTTCTTTTAATTGTAGTTTATATAACAATAGGTAAGGTAAAACTGGGAGATTTTGCTACTGAAATGTATTATGATACAACTAACCAACTAATAACTAGTGTATATGCCAGGACTGTACTCTTTAACCTTGTATATTCATAAATAATGTATGATGTGTTATCCTAGGAATGCTATCCGAATACAAACTTCCAACATGTACCTGTAATATTCATTGTACTGCCCTAACAAAAAGTCTAGTATGCCCTGGAATCAATTATAAATGAAATCATCTAGAGTTTGCTCATGGGTCATGCAACTACATGTATAATGAATTAACATTATTTTGATTTGTGTCAAGTTGAAAAAAATGACTGGAGTATGCAACATTCTCATAAAATCTGTACTAACCGTAAATCACATCTGTATGTACATTGGGCATCCTACCTTTGTCTGTTTACTTTTCCCAGTACAACAACTTTTGTCTGACGTGTATATAGTTAGATTTTATATAATGCACTCAGTGCATGCATTATGATTTTAAAAAAAAAAATCTTGTTTGCCTTATTCATTTGTACACTTTGAGGAATAGAGATATCACCCTTTTGTCTTTGTTTTACAGTGAGATGCCATTCTCCCGCTGGGACTGTGAGAGGGTGTGTCTGTGGCTGAATGACTTAGGTCTCAACATGTACCTCATGGATTGTCGCAGATGGGTCAAAAACGGGGATCAACTCTTAAGAGCAACTCAACATGAAATAGAAAAGGTAAATTCTAAATAATGATTACAGTACAAATTCCACCATTTTTTTTTCTCTTGGCAAGTTAAAGTTATTTTTTCACAGTATAACTAAATTTTCCTATGGCATATTTTACAAACAATTGCTAAGAATTAATCTTTTATAAAGTCTTTTAGTTTATTCATGTACTTCTTTTTATAGGAGCTTGGTGTGAAACATCCCCTTCACAGAAAGAAACTCCAGTTAGCATTACAACAGATCAGCAGCACGGGCAAAGTCAAGAAACAAGACCTGGATCACCACTGGGTTACACGTAAGTAAACATGGTAACAAAAATATGACTTATATTACCACAGGGTTACACGTAAGTAAACATGATACAAGAACCTCTAGGTACATAGGTAAAACCTTGATCACTACCGAGCTATAACTCAAAAGAAAAATAATAGAACAGGGACTCTGTTACTCTTGGGTGATACATTAGTAGGTTAAACTCAGTCTTCACTGGGTTACAGAATTTGAAATGTAAGGTACAGTCAAGCTGCAGGAACTGGATCAATACTGGGTTGCATTAACTAGGTATAGGTAAAAGTAAATATGAGGACCTCAGTTATCACTGGTAAGGGTTATTTATACTTAAGTGTACACAGTCAATAGGTAGGGGCTATTTTGTAATAAGTGAATTTCTTTGGTTCTAAATGTCTTTCTCCTCTGAAGCTGTAAAGCAAGAACTATTTTTTCCATGTTTTAGTTTCATAGCCCTATAATGCATGTATCCCTATCTCAAGAAATATTTAAGGGGGGACCTATGTCCGAAAAGTCTTTGTGTGAAATTTTCAAAACTTTGACATTTCTTTCTTGACCACTTGATCTTAATTTTTAGGTATTAAAAACAATACCTTTATATGCTTTTTTTTTACACAGGAGCACGTGCAAAAACAGTGTGAAATGCTAAAAATAGATTATTTTCATACGTTATTGTTCTACTCCAAATATGCGCTAAAAAAAACCAAAAATGTCAAATCACATTCGAAATCAACATGTATTTAATTTATATGACTTGTATCTTTAAAATGAAAGCAAACTCATTGTAATTCATCTCGCATGAAAAATTATACAGGAGCACAATGTAAGTATCACCCCGTTTTTCTTGTCGTATTTTTTACAATTCCAACATGCATAACAGGTAATATCTTAAAAAGTCTTTGTGTGAAAATGTGGTAAATCATATTTTTTGAAAGAAATGACCCCTCTCTTTATTTTAACAAGGAAAAAAGTATACCTTTATGATAAAATAAACGAGAAATATAACGTTTTCTTTTATTTTCTTACTCTTTTGTCATAAATATTGACCTTTCTGCACTAAAAAAAGGTAAGTTAGCACTGACTAACATCTGAATTTAAAACTATTTGCAAGAAACGAGTATTTTGTTTTGATAAGAAATAATTTAAACAGTTAAAATCTTTTCTTCTTCATTCTAATCATTTTGCCCCCCCCTCCCCGTCAACAACCAACACCTAATAGGAATGACTTTATACAATAAAATCTTCATACACTATAAATCAATAAGTAAATATAGGTACAAGTACATTTCTTTATTTTTCTTAGTTTTATCCAGAAAATACAATTAATGGTAATTATAAAATTAAACATTTTCCCTTTTAAGCCCCTGTCTTTGCTGAATTTTATCTTATATTTTTTGCATTTTTATATCAGCATATCATAGAGGTATTTCTTCACAACTGAAATTGCTATGAATTATCAACAAAGAAGAGAATTCTGATATTTCCATAAATCAAATAAAACTGTTTTAAATGATGAAAAAAATTTCTTTTTGTAAAATGTGTACGTTTTTGATTAATACCAATGTTATGTCTATAATCACAGTTGCAGAAGTCAGCGGGAAAAAAACAAACGTCGCTATTGTGACGTCACATAACGCTGCTTTGACGTCGAACGACATAGGTCCCCCCTTAAATAATGTTAGTTGTTGGCGAGGTTACTAATTTTAGACGGGATGCATTTGCATTTATTGCTAGCTGTTCCTCAAGTTAAAATACCACTGCAGAAAGTCATGGATTAATATACAAGTTGTTACGTACAATCCCTTTTCAGGTTGGCTGGATGACATCGGATTGCCCCAGTACAAAGACAATTTCTATGATGGCAGAGTGGATGGTCAAATGTTACACTATCTTACTGTGGTAAGTTTTAGATAGATCCAAAATATTTATGTAATAATGAGTAATCATTTTCAAACAGTGTATTTCTAAAAGGAAAGATAAAAACTTTAATGTAATCAAAATTGAGAGAGTATAATATGTAGTAATTAATTTTAAAGATTAAGAAGAGTACAAAAAATCAAATCAATAATGTTTAATTAAAATATGGCAGAAACTAAGAAATCAATATGCCGCCATGAAGCGTTGTAGTTCATGTACCTCATGAATCTTCAAAAAATAAATTCATTTCTTATATTTACATTATTTTCTGATGAGTTACCACAAAATACACCATTCAACTGTCATTTTTAAAGCAAAACAGTTTGCACTACAGTTTTGACATCAAGTACGGTATTATGATGTAACAGTGGAGATATTCATGCTCATCCGTGAAGAATGTTAAAGACAAATAAATGGAAATGTAAATATTCAAAAATATATAAGGTTGGGCAATCATTTTTGATGTTAAAATGGTGTTTTCGAAAGGGAAAGTACAAAACTGTTTATAAGAAAAATTGATAGAGAAGAAAGTTGCGTAGTAATTATTTGTCAGACATAAATGTAGTGTACATTCTAACCAGAAGTGATTACTGTATGGGGGAAAATAACTCGCGGTGTTAATATTCGCTATATTCACGGTGTTAATAAATCCGTGAATTCAAGAAACAGTGAATAAATTTTCAATAATCTCCAGGTATTATTTGGAAATTTGAGAACAGACAACGATAGGGCTACATACATGTACGCGATTTGTTAAACAAGCTGTTTTAATAGCCAACGCTACATGTTTCATCAATCAAAACACGTGGGTCATGGGTTTTGATTATCCGTGCGTAACTATTGTTACCACGTCTATTTGTTACTGCATTATCATGCATGCATATGAGTTTTTATCGACATTTTGGTATTAAAAATCATTCAAATAACTGTAGAACTTACTGAAGATGTGGAAGGATATTTCGTCGACCTTTTCCAACATTAACACATTTATTACCGTTCAGTGCTTTTTCTTTGCGTTGTATAAATGTAGTGCATATAGGAAAGACATTCAAGGACTTTTGAACCAGTTTTAATTATGATTATCATTTAAAATGCTGCTTTTAGTTAATTATTGTCGGTGAATTGTACATTCGGCGAATTTCACTGTCTAGTTGTCTGGCATCATTATGGATAAACGGATATAGACAAGGGAGGTAACTATTATGTACCAATTCCGTCCTAGAATTCAAGATTTTTTGATCGTGTCAGATGAGAGAAAAACGTGAAAATTACAACCCGTGAAATTAATCCCCTATACAGTATTATTTAAAATGCTGCAGACTGTCTAATCATTAATCTCATATATGAGCACAAAATTATTTAAAAAAAAAATGGAAACCAGCAAGTTCTAGTTATTTAGATATTAACATCAAACAATTCTGTTACAGGAGGATTTACTGTCGCTGAAAGTGACCAATGAACTTCACCATGTCAGTATCAAACGAGCCATCCAAGTGTTACATGCCCATGGATTTAACCCTCAGTGCCTTCGAAGGAGACCCTCCCCTGATGAAGTAAGTAATTATTGTGGGTAATTCCAGGTAAATGTATTATGGTAAACATTGTTAATAAAGTGAGGTGAGATTTTGGTTTAGTAGTCAAGGATAGTGAAAATGTAAAATATTAAACTATTGTTAGAAGAATTAAAAACAAACTTAAAGAGAATTTAGGCTTGGATTCAATTTTTTCTGCAAATTACATGTAAAACTGTTTTTACCAAAAAAAATAATGGAAAAGAAACTTCATTTTGTAACTAAGTACAGTAAAAAAGAATTTTTTTTCTAGGGTCAGTTACAAAATATCCCAGCTGATGTCTCATTGTGGACAAACCATAGAGTGATGGAGTGGCTCCGTACCATAGATCTGTCAGAGTACGCTCCTAACCTCAGAGGCAGTGGAGTTCACGGCGCTTTAATCGTAAGTCATCCGCTAGTATCTTATATTATCAGGCTAATAAAAAGTGTACTGCGTCTGTATATCAATATGGTACAATACTCAGATGGAAGCAGTAATCAGCATTATTAGTTTATTACTAAGAACATAAGTGATGTATTTTTATTTTATAAGTACATATATTTCATTAAGATAAATGTGTACAAGAATACCGAATTGCAGTAATAATTGAAATATATACTAATATTAATGTCTTATAGAAATTGATTTAGAACAGAGAATGAAAGCTACTGATCTAAGTATTGATTAAATTTTTCCTTTCAGGTCCTGGAACCAAGATTCAATGCAGAATTATTTGCCCAGATTTTATCAATCCCTCACAACAAAACTCTGTTAAGGAGACATCTCAGCACTCATGTTGTGGCTCTCATTGGCAACGAAACTCAGCACAAAAAGCGGGAGGCCGAGTCCACTCCTGGTTACGTGCCTCTCCTACCTAGTGCTAAAGTCAAGGTAAACAGCCAGAATGTACAGTGTGTTTTGAGTGAAAAAATTAATTTGAATATTTTCACATACTTATCCACAGTGGTTAGATTTGTTTGCTGGTGTCTGGATGGCTCAAGTGGTAGAGCTCTAATTAGTGATTCAGGGGCCCCAGGTTCAAATCTTGCTCTTATTGCATTTTATCCCTCACTGGTTACTTCTGATGCCATGTCATGAAATTGACAGGTGAAATAAAGGGAGAGCTTGGGTTGGTTTATAATTCATCTAGGTGTAATGAATGTTAAGAAGGCTTGAGTTAATTATCAATGTAGCGATACACTGTAGATTTCAAATTATTTCGATCAAAGGGCAGATCACTCCTATTGCATTAAAAAATCCATAGAAAGATATGTTCCAGAAAATATTTTAAAAAGTAAACAGTGATTATTTATCTATTGTTAAACCATGTCACTGCAATTTTACTAAACCTCTTTTTATTGTTTTGTCTTGGTTTTAGGTACATGTGTTATGATTTAATTAGTGTAAAAGGACATCTGACACATTTAGTGTCCTATTCTGTAAATATGTCTTAACAGGTGGTCTAGTTTTAAAATTTTAGAATTAAGATTTGAATGAGAGAACATTATTAATTTCAGAGTAAGAAGTTTGGGATTTTTGGTCACAAGAGGAATAAATCTGACGCTGATTTGGAGGATTTTATCTGTCCAGACTTTACAAGGAGACAGAATGGGGGTCCTCAAACAAAGGAGGTAGGACAAATAAAGAAGTGTTATTGTACGTTTTTAAAGCATCACTTTGTACAAAGAAGAGTAGAAATACAACATTTTATAATATTTTTTTGGTAACTAATTTAATAAGATGCAATGTACTGTAAATACAGCTTTAAACTTGACTTTGACTGTTTGCTTATTGGAGAGCATCAGACCAGCTGTTGAAGGAGACAAAAAATAAAGTATAGGAAAATGGGGGGAAAAAATTCCCATATAGAGTTGATGTATTAAATATTATGTTGAACAATAACCAGAATTCATCAAAATTTTATCTTGCTTATAAATTTAATGTAACTATGGTTTTTGAAAATTTGGTGACTTACAATATATTCTGATTTTGAAATGATTGTTATAGCATTCATTTAAATTTAGTACTTATTGTCATGGCGAAGTTGCCAAGCTTGTTGGACACATAAATAAAATAAAAACGCATGGTCTATGTTTTACTTTATTTTAGAGAGATGAAAAGGCTGCTAAAGAAATAGGTGCTTACTCTAAAGAGATCAATACTTTAACAGTAAGTCTGGAAATATTTTCCTCATTATAATAATTCAGTTCTACTAGCAAGACTCCTCATACATTGACATATAGTTTCATTCAGATATTAATAGCAATTTGTACACATCTAGATTACACCAAGATAAATACAACTATGATACTATTAATACATGTATATCAGTTTGTTATAACTTGTCAATTTTGATGAATGTTGTCTTGGTTCTTAGAAAAATTAATTTTAAATAGTCTTTGTATCACTTTGCTCTGATTTCAAAAGAACTTGGTTCACAAGTGAATTTGCTTTGAATATCAAAAATAATCTATCCAATTCTCTTGGTAGATATGTGGTCTTCTCAAAGATAACTAGTTTGAAGATATACATGTACCGGGTATATGTTGACTATTGCTTTTTGATTTGCTTGTTTTAGTACAACTGTTGTTTTTCTTGTAGGATATGCTTGCGCGTGACAAGTTTCTGGACAATGTACCCACATCTAATGTGTGAATTTATACTGAAAACTGAATATTTACCAAATATGAAGTGGATCAAAACCCCTGCCATTGAAATCAATCATGAAAACCATGCACAGGTAGACTCTACCCACAATCCTGTGTTTTAGGGATAATTTGTTTACTTTGGTTGTGATGGTAACCAATGTGCCTTCCTGGTGGCTGGCCACTATTAAGTATCTCATAGATGACAAGTATGCCAAATTTTTATCTTGTATTTATAGTTTTTAACGTGTTTTACTGAGGTTGTAAAATTGTGAACAAATGAAATTGTATATAAATGCAATTATGTATAGAAGAAATTATGTCCATAGTTTGTATATAGGAAAATATGTAGTTAGAAGTTGTAGAAAAAATAGTATAGAATGTAAATTAAATCATTCATACTGTCATATTATCTTTCGGATTTTATTAAGTATTTGACATTTTGCATGTTCTTGGTTATTTTTTTTTTCTAAGTAAAATATCATTCAACCATTCTAATTCATAGACAACATATATTTTATTTTACATTTTAAAACAGATTTTTAAGTCAATGTAGTCATACAGTGCCTCAAGCAAGTTTTAGTGCTAAACTTTGAATACATATTTAATTAAAAAATATCTTTTTGAGTATTAGTTAAATTGTTTGTATTATTGGGATATTAATCTTTGTTATAAAAGGAAAGAAATGATTTATAATGTCAACTTTATATTTTATTTTGGAACCATCAATTTTTTTTCCATTTAATTGTTCACTTTTTTTTCATCTTATGTGTTAAAATACAAAGAGTGGAAAAGTTATGGTGTTATTTGAACAGTCTTGGAAAGGAAGTTTAAACAAATCAAGTCCTACAGATTTTGCTGGACAAAATCAAATACAAATTAAATTTTTCTCTTTGTTTTCCTTAATAGATAGCTCCTGTTCCCTGATAATACATTGACGTTTTCAGCATTTTGTTCCTATTCATAAGCATTATATCTTTTAACCAGTTTTGTGAGATCTGTTATTTTCATCTTATTAAAAGCAATTTATATTTCTTCTGTCAACACATGAATAAAGATTTCGTCAGGATTTTTCAAACGGTTAATTTATGAGTAAGGTAGAGCCCAGTATTGAAAAGATATTTAGAAATTCATGGCTAAAATGTTCTAATATTACATGTATATATATTATATGACATCACAATGTTTGTATAGGTAATATCCAACACTCCTACCGCTACATGGTATTATAGGGCTTTTTCATATTTTTTTTAAAAAAGTATTTTTATAGAATAATATCAATGGTTGGCTATTAGTTTGCCTGAATTGTTGATGCTTGAACTGAACTTTCACTGTTTATTATTAAAATAGCTCAAAATGTAATCTTTATCAAACATAAGTAATTCATAAATTTTAATTAGGTAACTGAAATGTGGGAGATTTTGTTATCAATTTTAAGCTTATTTTTAGTGGACATGTTATTTCCTCATTATTGGGACCTTATTCATTGCTTCTCATGGTATGATCATAAACTCCTTTAAAATACAGGAAATAAGTTCTGTCTGAAACTTTTTGACTTTGTATTTTTATGTTGTATTTTTTCATAGAAATTGTTTTACATTTCTTTCCATTAAACCATGTTTTAGAATGCAAAACAATAAAATCTATTTTAAATGACACCTGTCTTGTATTTTTCCCTTTAGCCCCCCCCCCCCCCCCCCCCCCCAAAGAATAATAATAAAATATCAGTAAGTTTATCATTTTCAAAATGTCAAGGCTTTTTGATATCATTTCCTCCAATATCTGACATTACAAAGATGCATATGAATACATGTACATGTATTCAAAAAATTTTACACATATTTATATTCCAAACAAGTTGCTGTCCTTTAAAAAAGGACTGCAATACGTGGACCATATGCATGTTTTATTAACTGAAATTCAATTACGAAATTTTCTAGGTATAGTGAATATTCATGTAGGTTTGTTCACATTATCCACAATGATCTGCCTACTTATCTCCGATTAGCGACCTTTAGTTTTGTCAGTTTCAAAAATTGGGCTATTTTGATACATGTAACCCATAATGACTGGGACTTGACACCTGTTCTGGATTTATGGGGAAGAAATCTATCAGGGGAGAAATAGAGATCCGATGGTTCACGTGTATCACAGCTCTGTAGCACGGAGATTTTTTCGGACCCCCCCCCCTCCTCCTCACACACACGCATTAAAAGCCGTTGATATATATGGACCGCTATAAAACGGTATTGGATTGCTGAAAGAAAAAAAAAATTGCGAGCCTTGATGCACAAAACTAATGACGATGAAAACTTGTTCTATCTTTTAAAAAACTAGAACTAGTCGTTGAATGACGTTTTTCATTCAAGTTAAGTTAAACGTATCTATATATTGCAAGTTCTTCCTACCTTTTAAAATGCTACAGGGAAATTCGGATCCGCCAATGAAAATGTTAATGCGATATGCTGATTTAAAAGTGCAATTTCCCAATGAATGGCATATTCTAATTTGAATAGGGTGAATTATTCTACGGGCAAGTTACTTAAGTAGCCTGGTCCCCTGTCTCATCCTTGCTAAATGACGCAGAGTATACGAAGCAAAATAGGGACAGGGAACCAGCTAGTTACCTCAGGTGCGAACTCTCCAGCATTCTCGCGGTTTAACCTCGCTTATATATTTACTGCGTGGACCTCAGGGTCCACGCAATTAGGTCCCATACCTCCTTTGTGCTGTAAAACTGCTTGCCAAAAAAATCATGGTTATCATTCATTTTATTATCTATAGACAGCAATTATAAGTGATGTAGAAAAAACTACGAATATGACAACTTAAAGGTCTAATTACATGCATGCAATATCTTGGTGGATATCAATAACTACAGGTAAAACCAAAGTTGTGTAGATTAAATCAACAACAAGTGACAACTTGAGGAGGTCATGTGAAAAAAAAAATCAAAAGTATTTTCATCATTATAAATGAGGACGAATATTTATTGCCATGTTTTTTTGGTCCCAAACCCCAGACATGTAAGATGTGTCTGTGAAACACTGATGCTCCTGGATTGCAGCTGGTTTCTCGAATGCAAAGTCAAAGGCCATGTGATCCAAAATGTTGTTCAAAAAGGACTTGTCTTGATGAATATACATGTACTAGTGAAGTAGGAAAGTCTTAGCATCAACTGTACAAAAGTATGGCAAGAGATAAGATTTGACAAATTTTCGTAAAAGCGGGTGAAACTCCAAATTCAAGGTCAAGAGGTCAAATATATACCCAAAGAAAGGTCTTTTCACAGGGAATGCACATATGAAATATTAAAGCTTTAAATAATCTCAAGTTATGGACAAGCTTAGTCTTTTTTGCGGACAAACAGACAGACAGACTGACCGAGATGGGAAAAAACTATGTATCCCCTAATCTTCGATTATATGGACATAAATACTTTAGGTAAAAATGCTCAAAATAATTTAATTAAGGAATGAATTTAATAGCTACCCATTTTATACGGTATAAACTGGGTTGGGGCAGTTTACGCTTTATAAACCGCGAATTTAATTTTCATTCATTTGAAGTAAGAACAAGCTAATTCAGAGAATTCGTGTCCCACGCTTAGGGAAAAAGTCGGATCCCCCTGACTGAATTTGTAGAATTATTAAATGTATACATGTATACTGAGGCAAATAAAATACATGTATGTCAATATGCATATAAAGATTTGATTGCTCATTCTTTATTATGTGTATAGAAGATTCTTTTTATATGGAATATTTATCACACTGTTATGATGATTTTATAACCTCATAAATTTTTCATTTCTTTTCACATGCTGAATACTATCATTTAGTAAAAAAAAAAAAGAAAAGTATTTAAAAAAAGAAAAAAAGAAAGGATCGACCGGGATTCGATCCCGGGACTTCTCAAATGTGAAGCGAGAGACATAACCACTAGACCACGGAATCGCTCTTTCAGTGTGAAGTATATGCAGATCTGAAGTCACATACATGTATATATTCATGTTTACACAATCCATGGTGTTTGATTTATTTAGCCTTTATTAAACAGTTCTAGTAGATGTAATAAGAACATAAAGTCCGCCGAGAACGTGTTTTATACGCAATAACTCTCCTCATGCCCCTGCGCTAAAAATAGCGACATGTAATACTATAAATACTAATAAAACAAACGGGGCGGGGCACTTTGAGAGGGGCGAGAGAGGTCCTAGGGAGTTTTGGTATAAAATTACATTGCATAAGCTCAAAATCTTCCTGAAATATCGCCCGGAAATGATAGTGTTACACACAGACAGAATGTATAAATTTACGACCTTGAACTTTGACCTTTTGACCTCAAAATCAATAGGGGTCTTCATTAGGCCACAGGGAGTTGTTATGTAAAATTTCATTGCAAAAGCTCAAATGGTTCTAGAGATATCGTGTGGAAACGAAAGTGTGTTAACAGACAGAATTTGCTTATTTATGACCTTGACCTTTGACCTCAAAATCAATAGGGGTCTTCTTTAGTCCATAGGGAGTTGCTATGCTAAATTTCATTGCAAAAGCTCAAAGGGTTCTCGAGATATCGTGTGGAAACGAAAGCGTTACAGACAGACAGAAAGACGGACGGACGGACAAACCCAAATTAATATCCCCCACTTATCAAGCGGGTGACAAAAAAGATGATTGTTCTAACAAAATGACTTCAATTTGTACAAAATTTTAATGTAACGTCAGGCGGATTGATATGTTTTTGACGCAAGTCATTTTGTTAGAACAATCATCTTTTTTTCTTACATCAAATGAATGAAAATTAAATTATAAGCAATGAATTTAATAGCTACCCATTTTATACGGTATAAACTGGGTTGGAACAGTTTACGCTATTTTATAAACCGCTTCGCGATTTATAAAGCGTAAACTGCCCCAACCCAGTTTATACCGTATAAAATGGGTAGCTATCATTCCTTAAATAAAATATTAATCGAATTAGACGCCAGTTGAAAACTTGGGCGCTATGGTGACTAAATAAGTCTCAATAAGAGCCCTAAGGCGTAGAAGGTATTCATTAAAGTAAAACCGTAATTCTATGACTGAAATTAAAGATATTGTTATAATAATACAAGTTATTTATAAATTCTAATTATCTAACTGACATTGAGGACTTTAATTTATACAATGTAAACTTCAAATACAATTGCCACTTCTTTTTTTTATTTCCCCATAACGGAACTTCAATCATTATTTTTCATAGTATGTTCATAAACCCTTGAAATACAGGATATTGGTTCTATCACAAACTTTTATCAATTCATAATACACAGTTAATTCAATGTATTTGTCGACTAGATAAATCCCAGTGAACTCGACATTAAAAACGACAGTTAGAGTCTAATTTGGGTGTTTTACTGACTATAGACTCTAAGTGTCAACAAACAAATGAATTGTATGACAAACGAAATAACTTCAGTCCAGTGTTACTCCCAACTTATTCGAAACACAATCTTGATCATGTCACGTGTCCGATAATTCTTTTAACTGACACAGACTACTGACAGATAAGTTGATGTTACATAGATTTCAATAATCTCGTCTTAAGTCAGGACTTGGAAAATCGTTCTTCTATGTCGATGTGAGACATTGTAAGCTAATATAACCTTTCCTTGAGTCGTATTTTGGCTGACGTATTTCATACCAATTGTAAGGGGTACGGGTTTTGTGTCCAAACACAATCTGATTATGGATTATTCTTTTCATCTTATCATTATATAGGGCTCATGGTGGGTGTGACCAGTGGACGGGGGGTGCTATCCCAGAAAAAAATTATCTAAAAGCGTCTTTCAAGTCTATAAAAGAAGAAATATTTGTGTGGAAAGCGCTTAATCTCATGGATTTATGAGACAGGTGCAAGTCGTTGGAGGAAGCGAGTTTCAATTACATGTACTTATATTGTGATGAACTGCCGATAGTATTTCCTGGATGTAATATCAAATCTACTTTTAGAACAAGAGTTGGTTACTTTTCTTTCCTCTTACTTCTGAGAAAGGAGTCCTTTCATCGGGGCAATAAACAAACATGAATAATCTTCAGCAATTTCAATTTACAGTTTGAATTGTAGCTTTATTCTTGCGAAAGTCCAAACTATGAGTCCTAGTATCAACTCAACTTATTCCCAAGGCTTTGATTTGCTATATCTTGAATTTATTCTACATGATGCTATATGCATGATGCATAAAGATTTTTGCGTATGAATTTATAAAACCAGACAAGGCATGTAACAGTATACTTTATTATTTTCAGTATTTGAAAAGTCCATTATTAGACCCCCGCTCGAAAAGCGGGAGGGTATATAGAAATCGGGATGTCCGTCCGTTCGTCTTTTACGTTTGGGGTACCCATCTCTTATCCGCAACTCCTTACATACCATTGAATGAAATTTGATGAGACTTTCAAAGAATCTTTATTGCATATTGCCATTATGCACCCCCTATTTTACTTTTTGATCCGACACATATTTGGGTTTCCCATACAAACCTTTCTTTGGATTGAATTCGAATTTCTTTTAACAATGATGACGTGCAACGTTTGGTTAATATTGGTCTAGTTATTACTTAGACAAGCTAAGTTATAGCCTGTCGGATTATTTATGGAAAAAAAGAAAGAAAACA